CCATTTAGAAGTTGCACTTCCCTGCTTTACAAATATAAATAATAAACATTGAACTTTACCAAGAATTGGAAGAATATCAGTCTGGTCAAGTGCCCCCCCCCCGCTTTTGTGCTTAAAACCATACTCCAAAACATTTTCTTGTGAAGTTCTCAGCAAGTCATCCTGTAGTCAGCTGGAATCAGTCATGGGAAAAGTTTATGAAAAATGTAACTAGTTAAAGTTAAAAGTTAGCAGCCTTTAAAATTAACTTGAACTTTAAGTTAAAAGTTAAATATTTCCACTTTCAACTAGTTAAAAGGTAAGTTAAAAAGACAGTAACTAGTTAAAAGTTAAGTTGATTCGTGAGAAATACGTGAAATATGGTGAATTGCTGCTTAGCATCATTTTTCATTTTCAAATGCAATGAGTGAGTTTCTTTTCCATAAACCCACAGAAGCCCACTAATTTACTCGGAATTCACCCTGCTTTACCTGAAAACAATGTTATACTTGTCATACAGTTTTCAAAGTAACAATTTACCAATACCTATGTAATGTTAGATCCTTCTCACCCTCTCCATGTGAAGCACTTTGTAAAAGTCAGTGGTATAGGTATACCAGAATAACAGAAAGGAGGTATTCATAACCACGTGACAAATGAAAGCTGTTTCCACAGAAAACCTTTGGTGTTACAATTTTTATTGCTCAAAAAGATTTTATTGCTTACATCTGAATTAGAAATAATGAAAATGTTTGAAAACCAAAATGAGACTGAAATAAGAAAATCAGTTTAAATGAGAAAAAGAATGTTCAATTGCATAGCAGAAACTGTTTAAACATGCTTATTGAACTTCAGGAAAAGCTGCATTTCAAAATTGGCATCTGACAATTTTCCTCTTCTGTCTTGGAAAACTAAGCCCCCACTACTGAACAGTCGCTCTACATGGGCAGATGAGGGAATGCTTGTGTTATAACAGATGAATAGCTTTTTCATAGTAGGTGACATCTCAGATGTTTCTCACAGATGAGAAGTAATGCTCAACTTCTTGGGTCTGGGTTGCTGGTTCTGATCTTCATTAAAATTTAAAAAGTCATCTTCTCCCTCACTACTTGTTCCCACTCTTACTGGGATCAGCGTCTCTGCTTGGAAAAATCTGGACGCTGAGCATGGGCACAAGTAATGCTTAGAATGGTTTAAACCTGAAGCAGACAGACATATACATTGGCTTAAATCCACCTGAAAAATCAAGTACTGTTTTGAACCATTTCACTGTTATGTGTGGACATCAATCATTCTGACACACAGATCTGGTCAGTCCTCCAACCATCCAGACTGCATTGTAGGATGCACTCACACCCTCTCTTCCCCCAACACACACTGCTACAACTGGTTGCTCTGGTACTCGAACAGAACCCTGCTGCCTTTTTTTCCCATTCTGTTGGCACTTTTTATCAATGAACTCTTGAAGTGTTTGTTCAAAGAAGGCTATTTTTCTAACAACCAATTGTGTCCTCACTCCCTACTTGACCACAGATCCTCATTGTGCTGCCTTAGCGCTGGAGAATAAAAATGTGTCCATACTCTCTCCCCTCCAACCCTTAGTTCAAATCAGGCAGGCACACTACAAGCTTCAAGGAATTGCAAGCTGTTGAAGTTTGTTGTACTCTGTTTCAGAGAGAAGGAAGAGCAGAGAAGTAAAAATGCCCTAAGCCCCCAAGGTACGGGTGTAAGCACTCCACCTTCACCTACTGAGAGGCTTGCTGGGCTGGGTGCTCATTTCTACCCTGTGGTGTCAGAACCACAGCAGTTTACACAATTGTGAACTGGTTCATCACAATCAGTAACATTTGGGAACAGTTCAAGTATATGTATTGACATCCTGTCCTGCAACAGTTGTGAGCTCATTCCCAATCACGGACACTTTGGAACCTAATTTTTTTTAAAGTGTATGCACTTAGTGCCCACAAGGGGAGAGTAGGACTTCCTTAGCAAGGAGACTGAGTGGGCAAATAGAATGGGTCTGGGGAAAGAATCTGGGAGTAGTGGTGCTGGGAGCGGGGCTACGGGGACAGCTGCACACACCCAAAAATTCGCCATGGCCGCCTCCTGCCAGCACTGCTACCGCTGCGCGGCTGGAGAGCTGCGTGGCTGAAGAGCCACACCAGGCAGAGCCTAGCTCTGCTCTTCCCTCAGCCTGCCCTGCATGCAGACCTGGGGTCACCCCCCACCCCCTGCCATGCCCTCCTGGGCTGTGTGCCCCCCAGACGAGCTGCTCATGGCTGTCTCACGCTTGCCCCTACTGTGCAATGCTGGCCCCTGCTCCACTCCCCCACCCACCGCTGCATGTGCATCCCTCCCCACCCCTGCTGCAGCTGCTGGAAGCCTGCAGCCAGGCTGCCTTACAACCCTACAGCTGCCCTGCATGTGGGGGGAGCCTAAGCCCCGTTGGCCCCCCTTCCGCTGACTGTGCCTCTGTGCCCCCTGCCACTGGGTGAGTGGGGCCTTGGCCGGGCTGGAGGAATATCAGAGCCCAGGCGGCTTGGCCAGGCATGCAGGGGTGTTACTACTTCTGCACGCACCCCAGCAGAAGCACAGCCAGGGCTCTGGGCTCAGGGAACAAAGCCTAGCATGCAGCAACAGCTGTCTCTGCCCTGCACAGATCAGGAGGGCACATGGCCCCCAGGCCAATGCTGGGGTACATGCAGTGCAGGGGCTTACTTTAATTCAGTCTCCTGGTCTTCATGTGCCTTTTAGTGTGTTGTTTGATTACTTGATAGTGTGCTTTTCTTCCACAGGACTCTGCCTTATAATATAAATTCTTAATCATTGTAAAGCAGGGGTTGCAACCTACAGTCCATGAGCTGGACATGGCCTGCCAAGCCATTTCGTTTGGCCTGTAAAGCCAGATATCAGTGGTGGCCTTTCAGCAGTGGAGCAGTTTGCAGCCCCACTTCTGTGGTGGTCAGGTCTTGCGCGCACATAACAGCAGCAATTTAGTGTTATAGGGAAGTGGCAGTAGCAGCACCAAGTCAGAAGCCCTGGCCAACTTCAGTCTGAGCTAAATTATTTCAACAAGCTACTGCAAAAATGTTGCCAACCCCTGTTCCAAAGCACTCTGATGCTACAAAGATGCCATAGGAAATCTAAGATGAAATTGCCTGAGTTGAATAGCAGGCAGTAAGCAAGGCCTGAGACAACACATTGAACAATGAGGAGAAAACAAAATACTGAATAGTTTATAAAGTATCATCCATACTGCCTATAGAATATGCTGAGGTTTGTGGACAAAATAGAATGTGATCAGATAATTAAAGTTTGTAATGTAATACATATTTGTACATGGGACAAATCAATGTTTAACAGCCCGTCTTAGTTTTGGCATTTCTTCTTTTGAGCGTTTGATTTTGAAAGCGTAATAATGTTGTTTTAAACCAGGGGTACTGGTAAACCTATAGGCCTGGTTTGGCCATTGGCACCATGTCATCCAGCATGCAGGGTTCCCAATGGGTCTAGAAGTCTGGCAGTAGGGAGTGTGGGCACTGCTCCCCTGCTGCCAAATTTCCAGACCCCTAGGGAGCCCTGGGTCCTGCACTCTGGATAGGACACACAATACCAGAACATGGGGCCTGGCAAGGGCAGCACTGGGCCCCAGGGTCTGCACCACTCATCTGGCCCGCGGGACCAAAAGGTTGAACACCACTGTTTTAAACATTTTTTTGTGTAGTAGATAATCATAGGTTTTTTTCTGTTTCTTTTTTGTTTTGATTTTTGGTTGGTCAGTTGGTTGGACTTTTTTTAAACTTTAAATATGACGAGTTTATGATACTGCATTTGTACAACATACAACAGGACATCTTTGTGAGGTCATCGTGCATATATGAGAGTGACAGTCTCAGGCTCTTGATACATTCTTTAGCTGTGTCTATTCCTTTTCTCCTGGTCTCCAAGCTATGTTTCCTGGAATGAGGTGGACTTGAGGGGTATCTGTTTTAGGTAAAGTGTCAAGCATAGTTGTAAAGCACAAATGTCTAATTTACTTGGCCAAGTGGATCAGATGCCCTACCTCCAGTGATGGGGAAACAGTTTGTCAGTGTGGCTGCTGGAGCTACTGTTGGCACAGCTCTGGAATCCAGGGGGTGAATGCTCCCACAACACCCCCGTCATCTCCATTTTTCCCTGCTGCCAATTTTTGTTGGCAGGCAACAAAGAGGGGTGAGTGGTAGCAACAATTAGGTTCCAGACCTATGCCAGCAAGCCCTATGGGCCACAGTTTAAAGCTGCTAGACAGCTCTTTTGTAAAGAATTAGTTAGAAGGTTTTAGCATATCTTTAAAACATTGAGTCTTTTCTAGTGTAGATCACTCCTTCATAGTTTGGGGAATTTGTGCATGTTTCTTCCATCTTGACCCCACTCAGAAAAGATAAATGTCCAATAGATGTATTATTCCCCTATTGGCAGAGGCTAGCTTGATAGTTTTTGAAGATGGCCTCTGTCCCCCCTGCTAATGAAATAAGTATATCCTGCGGTGAGTGAGCTTAAAGTTTATTAGACAGTAAAGTCTAAATCCCCTTGCTGCCTCATAGTGACCTGCAGCTTGTAATTTTGGGAGTGCTGGCTTCGCAGCTATAGTAAATTGAAAATCATAGCACCATTCATAAAATATATAAATAGCTTTCTTTTAAAGTGTTGGTTACCTTTGTAGTTAAAAATAGTAAAAATATTTGCAATATTCTTTCCATGCTGTTTTTGTATAGCATCTTTCATGGAGCCATATCCACTGCAAATCCTCTGCTCTGAAGGACTGTCCATCTAAAATGCACACTGTTCACATGCAGATGTGAATCAGTATTGAAGTCTAACACGTCAGTTGTGCGAATGATCTCTGAAGTCAGTAGTGGTTGTAGGACAAGCTAGTCCTGTGGTGGGAAAGATGAAAGGGGTGAAGTGAGCGTATCACATGATAGATGTGTTTCTTTACCTCTTACCTTTTCATCTCAAGAATCTTTCTCTTGGATTTGTAGGATTTACAACTAGAATATGGTCATGGCCCCCACAGTGGTTACTTCCTAGGTGCAAATAAGTGAGTAAATAATTTTTCTTTTTTCTTAAATGGAATTAATTGATTGAATTAAAATGAATTAATTTGCTTTTAATTTGAACAAGTAACGTATTAGATTATAGTTTTATGGCTGTGGTGTAAAATTTGTTATATTTCTTACTTCCAGTAGTATAACTCCTAAACTGCTGGGATTCCAACAGTAATGATTATTTCAACTGATTATAAGGCTTATGAAAAGTATTGAAGTCTTGAGGTGTTGTGTCAGTATCCTGGGACTTTGTCAACCACATAACCTCTTCACTTGCCATCCTCATTAGTTGGAGATGCAAGTGACAAAGTTTGCTTTAGGACAGGGGTTTTCAACCTTTAGGGGTCAGTGTACCCCCCAATGGCTGGTTGAGAAGGAAGGAGTCCCCTGGCAGCCGGTTGATGAGCGGGGGGAGGTCTCCCCAGCAGCCAATCGGCAGGCGTGCCAGCAGCACAGCAGCAGAAGTGGTGGTGGAGGCGCCTGCTGCCAAGTATCCCCTGTGGCCATCCCAAGTACTCTCATGGGTATGTACCCCTGGTTGAAAACCCCTGCTTTAAGGGTAAGGTCTTTCACTGTTGCCCAAATAGTCTTGTCAGTTATTTTTTAATAGGAACTAATGATATTTTCAGAAACCTTTTTACCTGTGAAAGGACTACTCTATTCTAGAGTCTGCATAATAAGCTGCATTCCTAACATTAGAGATTGTCGTTAAGCCTTTTAAAATCTGTATTTTGAGGGAAAAGTAAAATACCCTGAAAGAAAGGAATTGTTTTATCGTTTGTATCCTCTTTTCAGCTTAAACAGTAACTCTTGGAATAAGCCAGAATAGTTCCAGTTTACAGCACAAAGGTGGTGGTCAGGTGTATTAATGAGGAATATACTAGGTGCAAAGAAATACTGTTTTACGGTAACATGAGATTTGAGAAAAAAGCAGATACTGTGTGTTGTTCAGCAAATACATATTTAGTTTATGTGAGGTATGGGCATATTACATTTATAGCACTAAGTGCCCTTGTAGAGTTAAACAGTGGTCATCCATATATTCACGCTATCTGTAGCGCCATAAAAATGATGTATTTATCAAAAACAAGTTCCCGTGTGAAGCAAGAACCTCTCTGTAGTACTGTGTTTTGTACTGCCACATGTAACAGTCTAGTTACCTATGGTGCTACAGGGAATCTCCTGTACTGCCAGTACTCCACAGTCCTCCAGGTCTGGAGAGGGAAAGCGACTGGCTTCCTGACAGTGTGCCCAGCCACAACAAACTGGCACAGAGCCCTGCTTAGACCCTGCTGCTGTCAGTGCCATTGCAATAGAATTGGCAATGGCTGGTTCCTCTACAATGGCAGCAGCTGGCACAACTGTTGAACTTCCAGTGGAGAGGCAGCCCTCTCCTCCTTCCTTCCCCACCCCCCCCCC